AATAGGATCTTCAATGTTGTTTATTGGCCATTTCCTTTTTAGGGGTTTGTATTACTGGCACAAATAAGTAAAGCCCTGTGTAAAGAGGGGGGGTACAATCCAAGATGGGTATTTTGAACCGTTTTTATTGGACATAATTACTAATTCATGCCCCAAGATTTTTACGTGATGGTATTGAAGTACCCGGGTCTTAATCTGGAGGTAATGAATGCAGTGCCCTACGGTAATTTCTTCTCTTTTTTTATGTAAATAAAGAAATTACTTGGAGTTGTATAATTATATAACTTTATTGAAATCATCAGGGCTTTTCCTTTTGTAACAACAATTCATTTTAATATTGAAATTTATTATTGAAATCATTCTCTAATCCATTTTTATTTGCAATTAATGACAACTATTTAAAACTCTTCAGTAGAATAAAGAATCTACACAAGTTTTTACTAAATATTTATTATTTTAATTAAAAAATTGCAATAAAAATAGACAATATTAACTAGATATTTCGTATTAAAATTATTCTCCATGCGTTTCATTCGCCTCTTCATTACCATGATTAGCGATCAATGTATCTACATTTTCTGATTCCTGTCGGGTTAAAAAAAAATAAAATATAATATAATTATTGTAACAGCTATTTGGTACACTATGAATTAATACGGCGGATTTGCGGAATTTGACCATTATCAAATAACCTAAATCCATTTTTTTTCAATAGATACGGTTCAATTGTAACAATATTGGGATTTAATATTGATGATATTAAATCTATAAATCAGAATATCTAAATAAGGTCCAATTTGTAAATATAATTTGGAGTATTTAGATTAAGATCAAATTCCGCAAATCCGTTGAATTATTATAAGCACTCAAATATATTGGTGAACAATATATATTTGATCAAATGATATGCATTTATAGAAGTATCGGCACTTATTAAAAGTCAACTAAAATAACGAAAAAAACCTACATTAGGCTCTTGATTAGGTTCTTGATTAAGTTCTTGACTAGGTTCTTGACTAGGTTCAAGATTAGGTTCAGTATTATCATTATCATTAGGAAATCCACCAGGCATGACAAGTTCTTGATCTTGAGCTGGTAAATTATCATCATCATCATTATCAATATGAGTTCCAACAAGTAATCCAATCAATCTTTCAGCAGCAGCTTGTAAATTTGTAACATCAGCTATTTGATGTATATGTTCAAGAATACGAACATTTCCATTCTATGTAAAAATTAGGTAAATTAGAAATATATTCATAAAGGATTAATCTAAAACTATCTCTTATTTGGTTGGTTTATGCTTTAGATGCTGGTGAATAGGGATGGCAACGGCTGGCTATTGTCGGCTTAGCCGACCGGCTATCTTGTGATATCTCGTGATCCAGTGATCCAAA